ATATTTTGGAGACCTTTAAAAATTTTGGAGATATTTGAAAATCGCATGCAAGTTGTAATACAGAAGTGGCAGAACCTTAAAAATATAAGAAAATATGCCCTCACAGGTTTGGCTCAGTGGATAGAGCATTGGCCTTCAGACTAAAGGGTTCCAGGTTTGATTCCAGTCAAGGGCATGTACCTTGGTTGCGGGCACATCCCCAGTGGGGAGTGTGCAGGGGGCAGCTGGTCGATGTTTCTCTTATCGATGTTTCTAACTCTCTGTCTCTCTCCTTTCCTCTCTGTAAAAACTCAATAAAATATATTTTAAAAAAAAATACAGCCCTTAAAACAAGTCTTTGGGACTGGAATTGTGCGCAATAAGCTGATAGACCGCGACAAGGACTCACGTGAGTGTTGATTTGTCCCCAAAGTGTGTGAAGGCAAAGCTCCGGGCTCATCCCTGGCTGGTCTTCACCTTGCAGCGGCCCCCACACCCCTTGCACAGGGAATCCAGCGGTTCTCAACCTGTGGGTCGCGAACCTTATGGTGGTCGAACGACCCTTTCACAGGGGTCGCCTAAGACCATCCTGCATATCAGATATTTACATGACGATTCATAACAGTAGCAACATTACAGTTATGAAGTAGCAACGAAAATAATTTTATGGTTGGGTCACAACATGAGGAACTGTATTTAAATATGTATTTTATTGATTTTTTACAGAGAGGAAGGGAAAGGGATAGAGAGTTAGAAACATCAATGAGAGAGAAACATCCATCAGCTGCCTCCTGCACACCTCCTACTGGGGATGTGCCCCCAACAAAGGTACATGCCCTTGACTGGAATCGAACCTGGGACCTTTCAGTCCGCAGGCTGATGCTCTATCCACTGAGCCAAACCGGTTAGGGCAAAGAACTGTATTTAAAGGGCCAGAAAGTTGAGAACCACTGATAGACGCTCTATAGGTCATGGATGTCCAGATGGTGGATGCGGGGCCCTGGGCCGCAGCCTGTGCAGTTGCTACACAGCTGCTCAACCCCGCACCGAGTCCCCAGAACCGCCTGCACAGATCCGGTGTGATGATGGCCAAGCAGGTGCCCTTACTGGCCACAATCTCCAGGGCCACAGGGGTTAGGACCCCATGGCTGGCAGGGGTCCTGGGGGCACTTGAACAGAGAGCAGACAGCGCTGTGGGTCACAGGGGTTAGGAGGTGTTGTCACACTCTGTGGTGTCCCAGACAATCTGAGAAGCAGCACAAACTGAGTTCTGTGCTCCAGGGCTGTGACTTCCATCCTCTGTCCCTCCCTCCACCTGGGGGCTGAATGTTCCAGGTTTACTACGGCCCCCATTCTGGGTCTGCCCCTTCCTGTGATGTAAGTTCGGCCCAAGCAGGACATGCACTACCCTCTTTTTTTTTT